CCATGGCGCGGCCCACATACTGTCTACTTCATATTCTTTTCTCTTCATTACATAATGTAGACATTCTAAAACTCAAATTTAACATTCCGTACTTGGAGGCAGATCTAAAGGTATATCAGTAAATTATGCATAATAGCAACAAGCAACTGCACGCAGCCGACTTCTTCATAGATGATAACAGCTGCTAAGCAATTCGAGAAATTATAAACATTTTATGTAACCCGAAGTTTCATTAACACGTGCACAAGTGCCTGTCACTAACTCTGTCCCGAGCCACTGTAAGTGCAGTGTACATCCTCACATCCTATTTCTTAAGATCTATTGTTGTCTTCAACCGGAGTCATGATATATAACAAAAAAAATAAAGATTTATGATAAGGCAATAAGAAATTATGTATTGTAAGATTTGAGGTTCTCACAGCGGTGGCTATGAAGAACACTATCTTCTAACGTCGTGTAGTCCGTTATAAGTCAACCGATGTTTAGGAGGAATATATGGACTCTGTCTTCAGGCTCGAACAAGCTGAGCAAGATACTAGCGTGAAAGAAGATGGCAGTATTAATTTCAGTATTAAACCCGCCACTTTCTTTCACGCTGGTATCTTGTCATATAAAAAATGTAATGCCTCTTCGTTGTTACTACCGTACACACCGCAAAATGCAATCTAACAGTTTATGTCTCTGTTAAAGCAAAACTCATCCGGGATAGCCTAGTCGGTATAGCGACTAGCTACGGGCTGGACGACCGAGGGTTCAGATTTCGAGTTCATTTAGGGTTGGGAATTATATCTTCTCCACGTCGTCCAGACTGGCTCTGGGGCCCCCCAGCCTCCTATACAAGTGGTACCTGGGGCTCTTTCTCTGGGGGTAAAGCGGCCGGTGAGTGAAGCCGACCACTCACTTCCAATTCGTGCCGAGGTCAAGAAAATGTGGATCGTTACATCCACTCCCCCGTACGCCTTCATGGCGTAACGTTTAATTAGTTAAGCATAGGACAGCATTTTACTCGTACCTTGTTTTAAAGCAAATCTGCTGAAGCTTTATGAGAGGACCTACATGATTTCCAGCTGGTGTCTGGATCGGAACTTGTTAGGTAGCTTTTATGCTTTATATTACTTTAAATTATTAAACATTGCTAGTTAAGGTACTAGTGAATTTCTTCACTTACGTATAAAAAATTAAAAATGGGGTCCCTTACACAAGCTAAAATTACTGAAGATACCCATTCTGAGTAATACTTAAACCAAGTTCCCTTCCACCTTAATTACAGATCAAACACAGGCCTATGTAAATGTAATTTAAATACAATTTTACTTAAGATTATGAATAATTCAGTGAGATTATTTGAATAAACTCTTCAAACATTTGATCTTATCGCAATAAATACTTGAATTTAAATGTAAGCTTATCATTTATAATCCCTTCTATGGAGAGCGCGTGTCAAAGTGCATGCTTTTAAAAATATGTTTAAATATAAGGTACAGGCACTTCTTCACTTCGCTCTTTTTCTTTCTCTCTTTGGTCATGACATCTTCATGTCCTTCTTAGTCCCTCTGCACATTTCTGTGTCATATAGAATAATCATGATCACACACATCCGACTGGAAATTTGACATGACGTCGATAGAATTTATTTCTAACTCCTGTAACTGAATGAAGAATAAGTTACACGCGATCAATTTGCTTTCCACATTAATGTCGTCTCTCTATATTCATTCATTTATTCATCAGTGGCTCTAGAGCTCTCTGTTGGTCCCTGGCCGCTTCTTTCAATTTCGTAATCCTATGCACAGCCAGTAGGACTCCTTAGACGGGGGATCACTCCGTCCATACCTCGACTGGGATTCAAACCCACGATCCCAGTGTTCGAGAGGACGAAGACAGTTCACGCCTTAGACCGCGTTGCCACCGTGATTGGTATTCTCGTCTCCCTATCGTAAAAATTCTTAATCTCAAAACCATCGAAACATGAACATAACTGCCTTAAAGTATGTACTGCAGGTTTAGGCCCTCCGTATGACTTAAACTAAAAGTATAAATGTGAGCTGTGCATGGCGCGGAGTAGAATGAAGGAAAGTGAAGATAATTCCTACGAAAACTGCATTTAGTTTTGTTCATATATTGGATAATATATGCTTTATTTATGGTGTGGCGTATTTCTCCTCGGGAAAAGTGCTGTGTGAGACAAAAAGTTGGAGTTCATTTTTCTCTCTACACACACTCTTATGCGAGCAAACACACACAATATATTGTAATCTGACTTTTTCTGAACAAAATATATCTAATGGAAACACAATAAATAAGAGAATTTCGTGATCTCAAATATAACGCATTTGCCAATAATTTTACCCGTTGTTTTACATGGTTGTGAAATTCTGTCTCTCATTTAGAGGATAAGTGTATATTGTGAGTAAATACAACAAGGTGGTGAGGCGAATATTCGACCAAATATGTAGGAAATAGGAGAAGGCTGCAACGAAAACTACTTCAGTTTTGTAAGATTTGAGGTTTCCACTGCTGTGACTATGAAGAGAATAGCTTCCTAAGATGTGGAACTGTATAAATATTGTGTTAACCGACTTTTCGGATGAAAGTTTCGCCTCCATCTTCATGGTAGAAGAAAAAATAAGAAAGTCCGCAGGCGAAGAACCGGTGGGAGCAGGTGCAACTACACGGTGCCACATCCCAGAAGACTGCTCTCTGCTTAAGCCTTACTCTTCATCAAAGAACAGGGTGATCAGAACAAGAGGGATGATATTTGTGAAACGTAGAGCAGAGAAGGGGCAGATAACACCTGCATAAAAATAGTTTGCAAAGCCTGGAATTTGGTATAAATGGAAGTATGATACTGAAAGGATTTTAGGTACAAATAATATAGTGGCCTATCTCTGAATAGATAATCGTATCTGTGACGAGTTCCCGTGAACACTCTGATCAACTGTCAGATTCATCGTAAGACGGGGAATGTTTAGACCAGACGATCTGTACCAGCTGTTTAAGTAACAGAATGCCTTTCACCTGCTCTGATATAACACCGTCAATATAACACAATATTCTGCAGAACCAGTTCAGGACACGACTTCGTCATTTTTATTACAAACATATAAAAATAAATAAATATTTTCTGTAATTGCCATGATTTGTATCCAACTTTTAATGTATAAATTATCTTGCAACTCAACATAGTGTAGCTTTAAATGGCAATTTTTATGGGAAAATACTGTTACAGGAAACCTTTGAAAAATCTCCTTGGCTTTTAGTCCACAAGCGAACTATACCGACCGAGTGACCGTCGCTTTTCGGCGAAGTTAGTGCCAACTTTAGCTGATAGATTGTGTCGCGTGGTCAGCGCAACGGATTCCCACAGCCGTTAATTTCGGTTTTCTAGACAGGAGTCGCTACTTTTCCATTCAAGTAGCTTCTCAATTATCCTCACGAGTCTGAGTGGACCCCGTTCGAAACCCACTACTTTTCTGAAAATCCTGTAGCGCCGAGAATCGAACCCGGAACCTCTGGATCTGTAGCCAGGAACTCTGACCACTAGACTACAGAGGAGGCCCTTAAAGGAAACCTTGCATAGTTTATATTCCTTAATATATCTGAGCGATTTTAATTAAATGTAATAGTAAATCATTAAAGTATTTAAAATTAATAATATGATGAAGTAAATGGCGTTTTAGTTTAACTCCGAAGGTTGTATTACGTATGGTAGGGTCATAAATGTCCTTGAAATGTAAGTCTGATAGTAGTCTGCAGAAGCCATGTAGTGGTCTATGTGAGTAGATTTGCTGGATAAAATTTATGACAATATTAAACTTACGTTAACCTAAATAGTGTAGCGGAAATAATGAATTCTATCGTATCTTATTAGGTACATTTGTACAGTCTTTGTTATAAAGCCATACATTTTAATTGTGTTTGCAATAGACATTATTATAATAATAATAAAGAAATCGTGGGAATAATTAGGCTCCTACTTTCCTTTAATATTATACAAGAGCCACATAAAAAAACGACGCCTCCAACTTTTCTTTTGTTTCGTGTGTCTTCTCTCCAGCTGTAAAATTTTAACGAGCCGTTGTCTAACAACGATAGGCGGTACACATATAGGCACACAGCATCGTGGTATAGTGTCATGACAGACATACCAAGTTTAATAAAATTTGGTTCAACCATTCTAAGGTTAATGTGAGAATACACACATAAACAGCATGGTAATCGCACAAGCCTACTTCTATTTTTTCAAAATAGGGAAAGTATGGTATAAAGCGGCGGTTATTTAAAGGTGTTGCTTTCATAATTCCCACATTCCATTGCAGTATATAGAATTTAACATGTACATTTGCAGGCTGGAAAGAAAGTGTGTCTTGTAAGAGTTGAGGTTTTCACGGCGGTGACTATGAAGAAATCAGTCTTCTGGGATGTGGTACCATGTAGATATGGTGTTAACCGACGTTTCGGAGGAACGTGTCGCCTCCATTTTCAGGGTAGAAGGAAAAATAAGAAATCAGCAAGCGAAGAGACCGTGAGAACCGGTACAAGAAGACTGCTTGTACCGGTTCTCACGGTCTTTTCGCTTGCGGATTTCTTATTTTTCCTTCTACCCTGAAAATGGAGGCAATACGTTCCTCCGAGACGTCGGTTAACATCACATAACATCACATCTACACGGTGCCACATCCCAGACGACTGCTTTCTTCAAAGTGTGTCTTGACTGGACGTTTTAAGTCACGAAAATAGGTTCCAGTCCCTCCTTCTTTCATACACGTAGTTTTTTCCCCTTTGGCACTACAGCCCCAGTGGGCCTAGGCCTGCCTCCATGAACTTCTCCCTTCACTTCTGTTTTTCTAGATCTTAGACATACGGTAGGACTCCTTAGACGGGTGATCAGCTCGTCGCAAGGTCTCTACCATACACGTAGTTTACCGGAATAATTTCTTTCTTTCTCTTCCATGTTCAAACGTTCGTGTTAAGCTTTATGTGTTTCTTCTTTCCGTTAGCTACTGTGAACGCTGCCATCTCCCGCGCTCCAGACTCCAGCAGCAAGTATGAAACTGTCGTTTCGTACCATAATTCAAGTTGTTTTTAACATCCCTTAGTGGGCGGGGCCAAGCCATCATGATGGAACAATTTGAAGAGTTTTGTATCAGACTAGAACTGAAGAGCGCCCAAATCTTTTTCTCGTCGTTCAACCTTCCCTTCAGAGGTAACGGTGGAGGAATAAGGGCTGCATCATTAAGGATAATGTAGTGCAGCACGGTGTAGCCTAGAATAACCCCGAACTGTTCCTTTCTGCAGGCTCTCTTCACTCTCCTGCTTTACCAGAAGAAGAGGGTGGAAACAGCAGTAAAAAAATCTGCTTCATATTCCAGCATAAGAAACTATGAAAAGGAAAGAGGCCGTTCCTTCAACTTCCATCTGATGTTCTTTGTTATTCGGAACATAAAATTAGGGTTTGTTTATCTCTTTACTTTACGACGTCACACTAAATGAATCCATGTTTCTTCGAATGTAAGATGATGGGAAGACTAGCTCATGTATCCGCAAAAGTCTGTATATTCTTTATAATAAGTTTTCTTTTTAAAGTTTTAAAAATCGAAGAGATTATAAGGAGAAAAGGAGGAGCAAAAGCTATATGCATTTTTATCCCCCCCCCCACTTTATTCCACAGGAATTTACTTTAATGCTTATATTTAATCAATTGTATAAGTTTGTAACAGTGTAAGAGCATCTACTATAATTTATTTACTTTTTCATCTGTGCTCGGTCATGATTACTGTTTGCCAAGATCTGCTCCTTAAGCAGTCACGGACAGCTGTTAGAATTGAAGCGGCAGAATCCACATAAGACACCAATCCCTGTGCATACCGCGCTGGAAATGTTACAACTTTCAGCTACAAAACAGAAATTCCCTTGTATTATGTAAATTTGATGGAGCTACAAAGGCAGGCATGTAAATGTGCAGAAAGCATCCGTCCATGCTGTATGGAATTGGGTGACGGAGAAGAGAAAATAGAGTAAAAGGACAAGGACGATTCTTGTGAAAACTACTCTCAGTCTCGTCTGGCATGTAGATAAGAGAAGCCGGCTGGTCAGCGCACAGGGCCAGCCGAAACAGAAAACTAGAGCAAGGGCCTGCTGACTTTCACATTGCCCACAATCACAGCATTTACCTTCATATCTGAAGGAAGGTAAAAGGTAAATCTGTTCCTGTGTTTAACAAATTAAGCAGTAAGCCATGAAGACGTAGGGGGGAGTGGATGTATAGATCCACAGTTTCTTGACCTCGGTACTGGCTTGAGGTGAGTGGTCAGATTCACGGCCAGGCCGCTTTATCCCTCAGGGAAGAACCCCCCGCGCCCGTTGGATATGAGGTTTGGGTGGATCCTTGAACCGGTCTGGACGACGTGGAGAAGATATAGTTCATAACCCTACCGGCATTCGAACTCCAACCCTAGGTGTCCAGCATGTAGGTAGTCGCTATACAGACTGCGCTATCCAGGTTCCCTGTATTTTCATTCATACAAAAGAAAAATTTCAAAATTAACATGACCCGAAAATTCACTAGTAATATTCATAAAACACATCTGATTTTGGCCACGAACCGGAACTAGTTCAATCTATTTAGAATCCTCAGGAACTGATTTATTAAACACTCATTTTAATATTATCTTTCAACCTTCTCTGTCTTCCTAGCTGACATTATAGATTTGCCCCTGAAATTCATTCATGCTGCCACCCTAAATACGTGTCCAGCTGAATGTTGTCTCCGTAGGATCTGAAGTCAGGAATATCCTTGTCATGTAACACAGATTTCCTTCACATGGCAGACATCGCACAGTTGACCGTGCCAACGTCACGCTGTTTGCTGTCCGGTACATTATTATGCTCCTGCGCACTAGTCCGAGCCTTGGCTCCACTCCTGTCTTCAATGACTATAGAGATCATATTGTAATGTTTCCAAATTCTATTCCACACATAACCACTACATGTAGAAAACACTAAAAACTTTAAGCCTAATGACGGTCAGTGGCCTGAAGAGAGGGAGTACGACCATCTACTTAATATTTTGTCTATAAGTTGTATATAGCCAATGGGCAATGGGCAACAAAACACTCGTTCCTGTAATAACACAGAGCCGGGGTAGTTCAGCCGGTATAGCGATGGGCTACGGACTGGGTGGCAGAGGTTCAATTCCCGGCAGGGGCAAATAATTTTTCTCTACTCTATAGTGTCCAGACCAGCACTTGACCCACCAAGTCTCCTATCCAATGGGTTTTGGGGGCTCTTTCCCAGCGGATAAAGGAGCCTGGGCGTGAAGCTAACCATTCGCCTCCATCTAGTGCCGACGTCAGAATGATAGAGAGATACTTCCACTCCCCCAAACTTCTTGGCGTAATTGCTTAATTAATTAAGTCAGAGGCAGATTACCTTCAGCTGCAATATCTCGTTTATAAAATGTTCACAAGTTTTCTCAGGCGCTTCTTTTCTTCGTCCTGACATAGTCTTCTTTTGAAGTAAGGGCCCTAGTTTCTGTAATCACAAGATTAACTTTCCCTTACATATGGTATGACAGTTCTGTAATTTCATTGCCGGTGTTGTATGTCGTCTTGTCAGCGCTGCAAATAACATAATTGGGGGTGTAGTGCTGTAACAGACACTCCTTTCAGTAGTAGTGACAGGGATTATTACGATATAAGTAGCCTCTTATTAAGGTTGCTCCCTGTAAACGACCATCGACAGTTATCAGAACAATTTCTTTTCTATGTCAGTAGGACAGGCGTTTCGGCCTGTCAGCCATGTTTCAGTGGCACTTCCATTGTAATTCTTAGCCATTGCTGCTTTTGTGATCTGTAACATCGTGAACCCCTCCAATATTTTCTTCCCTCCATATTTCTTACGTGATGCAACTTCAAAAACATTATTTTAATAATAATATTATTATTATTATTATTATTATTATGATCATCATCATATTTCCTATTTATGGCTAATTCTTTCTTATTAGATTTCTATGTATAATATCACTAACTAGTACCCAGTTTCTTCCTTTTGAAGACAATTTCAAAATGTCTATATTTTCTACATTTTTCTGTATTGATTTTTTTTGTCCCGGATGTACTTTACACAGTTTGGGTTGTCTTTATTGTATCTTATATCATAGACGTGTTCTGTGTTCCTTGTTTTGAAATTTGTTTCTCTTATACATAATTTGTGGCGCCGGTTATATTTAAGATTACATAATTCGTTTTGTTTGTATCTACCTTCCTTCTCTTTCATAGCTAAATATTTCTGAATGGTGTTGTTTACTGTACTAACTTGTTCTATGTTGATGTTCCTCAATGTCTTTGTTACCGCCCTGATCTGGTTTCCAGAGATTACGATTCTCGACCAAATCTGTTTTGACTGTTTGCCTTCATTTCCTCTTTTCTTATTTGCGTGGATTTCCCGTTTTCTACTGCAGTTTCTAACGATGTCGGCTCCATTGTTGATTTATACTTCTATTTTCCTTATTGTAGCTAGATCTTTGTTTATTGCTGCTTGGTCAAGTGGTATTTGTCTGTTCCCTCCAGCACATATTTGAAGGCTTCTTGTTTATGTTCTCATGTAAAACAGGATTTATTTATTACTATGTTTGGCCTTGTATATTTTCTGTGTGTTCCACTTTAATATCCTTGTCTGTCCTGTGTACTGTGAGGTCTAAATAGTTTACTCCATTTTCTTCTTCTTTTGCTACTCTGAATTGTTTCAGTATTACATTCTTTGATGAATGCTTTTAGAGTTATTAACTCATTGTCACACTAAATAAATTCAATCTACATATCTTGTGAGGAAATTGATACACATACTTTCAATTATTCCCCCCCCCCCCAATATATACCCACAAGGGGAGGGTTCATGTGGACATTTTTGCCACTGTACCCCGTCTAGAAATAAGTGACAAATTTTCCAGTTAGACCTGTAGCTCTCAGTTCGAGGCTAGAGGCAGAAATTCGATTCTTCCTTCCTCAGTCACGAAGTTTTGACAATGAGGCACCCCCCTATGTCACGGTCCCGAATGTATCATCCTTACTTGGGTTTTATGACCAGGCTTTTACAACGGAACGACTGCGATAGTACGATCCACATGCATGCTCATTAGGCAGTGTGAGTGTCCAGAAGTTATTAATATTATGCACTACTGAAACCTATCTGAATGTTACATAAGCTCAGAAAAAACAAGTGTTCTGTAACTGCAACGTTAAAGGGGTGATGATTCTACTATTTACGTTTTCATCCTCAGTAATTTAATTAACCAAGCATCACACCATGAAGACGTATGGGGGAGTGGAGGTATATCTGCACAATTCTTAACCTCGGAACTAGATGGAGGTGATCGGTGAGATTCACGCCCTGGCCGCTTTATCACCCAGTACTGGTTGTATAGGAAGCTGTGTGAGAACCAGGACCAGTCTGGACGCTATGGAAAAGAGAAGACACACTTACCTCGGACGAGCAACGAAACCGGGTCTTCCAGCCCGTAGCCCTTTGTTATACCAACTTGGCTGAACAGTTGCAGGCTTAAATTTAAGTGTTCGTGTGTGCGTGCGAGCGCAAGTGGGTGGATATATTTGTCAGAATCTGACTAGAAATTTTGTCAGTTATTACAAGATCAATGAAAATTAAAATTTCAACGGCGATGTTTACATGTCTCTCTCAAGCAGCCAGCTTTCAACTGAAGAATATATCCAACTGGGGCTGCAAATGTTAGGCCATCCACACGCACAAACCCTATAACTGAGTCCGTCATTATTCGCATCTCTTGACCGTGAAAACATGTGTCAAAATTAAACCCTCCCCCCCGACGACATCCTCCCTGAATGCCCTAAAATTCTGTTTTAAAACTCAAAGTAGCTTGTGTGTTAGTCAAAGAGAAATTAATAAAACCCGTATTCAGGAATCTCAGTGACCCATTTAACCACCAGAATTAAACCCATTCAAGACCCCGCTCTACGGGCATACTCGGAAGAAAATATAGGCCTAGCATAAGATGTACGTTACACCCTTTGACCCCAAATAATTTCATTCTATGGAGGTTTTATCGGGCAACAAGGCATACAACGGATCAACGAATCCCATACTATTGGTCACTAGGATCCACATACTATACCTTATTTTACGACATCAGTAACTTGGCCTTGCAGCTTCTAATGATTGAATTATAATGTGATATGACGCCTGAAAGCCGGGATAAGGGAGCCAGAGCAGAAGTCCATTGTTAGCCGACGGCTTGCCAAATACTCATCCCCGCAGTAACGAAAGAAGTCCATTGTTAGCCAACGGTTCGGCAAGCACATTTACGTGATGACAGGCGTTTTTCATGGCTACCGGTAGCCTATATATGGAGCCGTGCAGAGAAGAAGGAGGTAGTCATATTAGCAGTTTATTCGCCAGAGAGTTCAGGAAGCAGTTCAGTAGTTCAGCTGGGGAGTGTTAACCAGCGGACAACGAAAGCTGAACAAGTGACCGATTCGTAAATCA